ATGGCTTTTTCATCCTGCTGTGTTGTTGATTGGATGAGGACAGAGAGGCCTATAAATAGTCAGACAAGGCGCTATCTGGCTTTTCAATGGCTTCACCTGTAGCCCTGAATATTTCAGCAGCTGCTATCACTTTAATGGGCCTGTCTGTCTCTTGGTTACCATGGCTGCCACCTGGCCACTGTAAATTTCTTCCCCGCGAGTGTCACCTTCAGCAGAGGGGAAATGGGCTGTAACGCTGGTTCAGGAGAAATGAAACTCTGAATGAAACTTGTATTTAGCAGCCAAAATTCCCCCTGCTTTAGAAAGAATACAACTTTTAGAAAATAACTGTACTGAAATGTGTCTGTGATGCTCATAGTTGTTCAAATTTGCCTGTGGACTTGAGGTTTAAAACTCCTGTTTATCATGAAAGATGATCTTTTATGCTGAGTGAAGGGTGTGTCTTGCCTCTGAGCTATTTAGCCAGACAACACCCGTGTGTGTGACAAACTCTTGGATGACAGAAAGCTAACAATGCCAGAAACCAGATCAGAAAAAAAAGGACAAGAGAAGAGCATTTCTCTGTCATATTTAAACCATGTTTGCTCCTTTATTTCCCCTTTTGATTCCTCTGATGCTACTTTGGATAAAAACAGAGGTGCAACACAATAAGCCAAGCCCATGTCGTCATGTTGTCATCATGTTGTCATCATGTTTACTTTGGGAGTGAGGGAACAAGAGTTCTTTATGTAACAAAGCTTGAACAGAAAGGGGAAAATTCCAGTTTTCAGTCATATTTGTGTCGAAATATTAATATTTACTGGCACAATAGTTTTAGTTTAGTTAGTTTGGCTGTGTCAGAGTCTTTGTTGTATTGTTATTTGAGGCTGCAGTAATTAATATTATAATATTATGACTACATGTATTTGAAAGGGGTTGTTGCAGTGACAAACTCACATTAGACTCTGCAGTTCCCCTCAGCTCTGTGGAGTCTGTTAACTCATTGTTTTGGTTTTCTGGCCCATAACTTTCTGGTTTAGTTCATCAGCTCTCATCAGTGTTGTTTCCAGATGTTTTCATACCCACAGTGCACTTCTGACCCAGTTGGTGAACACAGCGGAGCATTCAGCAGCTAAAGGGCGTGATATTTCCCTCAGGAGTTGGTGGAGAGAAAAATGGGCAGGTTTAATCTTTCTTGGGTTGAGCATTTGTATTCATTCACTCATGAGGGTGGGGAGCGGGGGCTTTGGCAAGCTGAACCCTAACACCTGACATTAGTCTATGATGCCTTGCCAAGCCCATCAAATCCTTTCTGTTGGATGAGGACTGAAACACCAGGGTCCTGGGACATGGGCATTACTGCTGGTTTCATCATCAGGTCCTGAAGACACTGGCTGATACCATCTGCAGAGCCGTCAACCAGAGCCAGACATCATGCTGCAGTCGGAGTCATCTAGACAGGTGGTTGTGCTCGAGCTGACAGTCAGGTTACGGTCATGCTTGAGACGAAAAAGGTGCACCAGAGGAAGCTTGCCAGCTACCGGGGCTTGGTTGAGGATTGCCACAATAGGGGTGGCACAGTGTTGGCCCTTAGAGGCGAGCTGCAGAGGGTTTCCTGGGCAGTCACTCTACAAGGCCCTCAGTCAATTTGGAGTCACTGGGCAAAGAAAGAAAGCCTTCAGGAGCGCAGTGGCTGCAGATCAAACACAGGAACCTGTGTCAGAATGCTGCTCAGACACAATTTAGGGCTTGATTTGTCCTCCTGACTGAGTCACCTGGGCGCGGGTGTCTGACACCTGGGAAACATCACTGATGACGTGTCTGAGCGCATCGCAAGATTCATCTGCAGTCATTGTGCCTACAGTCAGCCACATAAAACCCACAGGGGCGAATGTCTTTGAGAGCTTGAATGTCAGTTTCTATGAAATAAACCTCTTTAAAACAATTTAAACAAAAACTGATCATTATAACCTTCAGGATGGGAGCATGTATTGCAGGACTATTGCATTAGACCGCATTGGATAAAGTTAGTTCTTGGTGTGGTCTGAGCACTTTGCTTGTAATCATGTTCCAGCTTTAAAGAATAAAAAAATAAAGAGTGAAAGAAAATGTAAAAGGAGCAGAACAGAGGAATATAACTACATCAAAGCTTATTGTTCAGCTAAATAAAGTGTGTGTTGTAGTGTGTAATGTAGTTTCTCTTATGGCACGTGGGAAACAAGTTTCTCACTCCCTGACTTGATTTGTATTGATGCTGCTTCACCCCGGCCAATCAACAGCTTTTAAAAGATGCTGAAACACAGCCTGGTAAATAGTTTCCCCAACAGTTTCTGTAAGTCTGGGACATTTGGGTGGAAGGTATAGAAATTAATCAAATTCATAGTTCCCAGCAACAGCAACACACAGTGAGGAAAGAAATACTGAAAAACATTGTGAGAATGATGTTCGCTAGCATTGGCATTGTGTGTTTCTCCAGAACGTGACCCTGTGACGTCTAATATCCGCTCATGCAGAAAAGAAATAGCAAACACTTTATCTATGAATGCAGCTAACTGTGGGAAATCTCAGACTGGTTTTCTCTGCTCGTGTGTCTCGTGTTTCTGGCTGTGGAGATGAGGCGGCAACAAATATGTATAATTATCAAATTGCCATAATTGGATAATTGGAAATTACCCAATCAGGAGAATCCATTGAGACTTGTATATGTCTGCCTTGAGAATGTAAACAAACACAATGTAAACACATAGAACTGCATCCTCACATTATCTCATTACAACAAACTATTTCAGAACCAACTCTGATTCACACACACAAAAGATGTATTTTCTACAACCTATATTTTGGCTGTGCTCTCTAGCTCTACTGTATGTCAGGTTATTTTGGGGAAGTAGAGCAGTGTCTTGTGGGTAACTGTAGGCTCCCCTGCTGGGTGACAACATGACAGCAGGTGCTGTAAATGGGAGCGCAATGTGGGTCATGACTTTCATTAATAGGCCTTTGCTAAATTAGTTGAAAAAGCACATTTCATTCTTCAAAAACAAGTGTCTTTCTTTGTTGTGCTGGAAAATGTTTTAGAGCCTCATGAAATTGTTCAGAGTATTATAAGGTGCTGGTACTCAGTCTCAGTTGTGGTGTATTGAGTTTTCAAATCCAAGTCTTGACCATGATTGGCTGATTGTTGAAGACATAAATATACTGTACAGAATGGGGCATATTTGAGAGCAGTTGCTGCCGGTGTGTTGTTGTCTGAGAGGGCTAATCATTGCCTACATCGGGCTAGTCTTGCAACCTGTTAGACCACTGAAAAACAAAACAAAATACCACGTCAAAATCAGTAACCCTGAAACAGCCAAACTACAGTATAAGAGCAGCAGACAGCGAGCTGCTCCAGGACCATTACTTTGGTACTTAAAGCAAGTACCAACGACATTTGAATGCAGCAAATCAAGCAATACGGGTTACTTTGTCCACTAAAATGAAGGTTTGCTGCATCTCCAGGTCAGAAAAGGCTCTGCTGGTGATATTAATTCTATAATTTTCCTGCTAATTTATTACCAAATTATGGCTTATGTAAATTTACTTTGCTACTATTTGTCTGTCATTGTTTGCCCTACTAGTGAATGCCTAAACTCATCTAATAATGGACTATGAAGACCAATATTTTGATAACTGAGAGTTTAAAAACTCAAATATTGCTTAAATAAAATTGGTCTGAACTACTGCAAAAGCTGAGCCACTAGTTTGTAGTTGAAGCCATTTTATATGGGAGATGGAAACAGCGGCATGTACAATTCGTGTTGTGAAAAATAATTAACCATTCTTGGTATCAGCTTTTTCTCTGCTGACATAGGAGGTATGATGATCACACAGGAGCATTATGACACTAGTTATAAATGATTAAATTATGTCAAGCGTTCTGTCAGCTTCAGCAATCAACAGCTGATGCTTGTTTGTCAGCCCGGCAGCCATTTTTAAAATGCTGTCAGACTTTAAATAGAAAAATTAAGTCAAGCTGTGGAGCAGCTGTATCTCAGTTGGTGCAGCAGGTTGTTTGTTAATCACAACGTTGGTTCTTCGCGATCTGAACTCCTGCTGTCCACGTGCTGTTTTGCCCTGAGCAAGGCACTAAACTGAAAAGGGTCCTACTGGATATGCATGAAAAAAAAGTTGTGTGCGACTCCATGGACGGCTTCTATGCTGTGCTAATGGAAGAAAGATTGCATGTGTGAGTTAACGGCAAGGCACAAAACCAGCCTGAGAAACAAAATAAGTGTTTGATGACTCCTCTTTAGCACACGCACCCACACACATCTCTCTCCATCTGTCTCCCTCTCACTGTCCGTGTTTACACGACATCGCGCTTTCATGATGAAGAAACCCACAGCTTTGAATTGTTACCGGGCAAAGCACCAACAGCAGAACAGAGCACACAGGTTGAACAGCCGTTTATGTGGTCAGTGTATGACAGTGTACGTGCAATTAAAAGTTAGGTTCTGAGAGTTTTGAGGCTGCTGTGTCATGTGACTTGATTCCCACGATCGCTCTGTTTTAATGCTGGAGAGGGCAGTTATAATGTTGGTGAGGAATGGGCCTCACGAAGCTGAGAAGGACGCCAATGGCATCACAGCCCTAATTGGAAGGGACAATAGTGTTATTCTTCTGTGAGGGAGGCATGAGGATTTGATATCGACGTTGAATTCCTACAGAAACTTTCACAGCTGACATACGGTATAGTCTTTACTTTTTATGCATGTGAACGCTGTTGCTGTCATTTTTTTCTTGTAACCTCCTTTTCTGTAGACTTTCTCTAACCCTGTTTTTCTTTTTCATTCCCTCCCCCTAGTGCTCTCTCCTCCCTCCCTCGCTCCCTCCTGCTTTCCTTCTCCATCCAAGTGGTGTTCGGAGCAGCTTACTCATGTCCAGTCACTTCCCACCATGCCTCGCCTCTCACGCAGACACTCACTTCCTGCTCCACTCCTGACATATCTTCATATCTCCTTTTTTGTGTTTTGTGACAACAGGAGAAGAATGAGGTCTTCGTCTGCTTAGCAACCCGTCCCTGTAAAAGATGGTTCAGCGAAGGTAAGAAACCCAACAGACACACACACATACAAACACACACACACGGCCTGACACACTCTCCACGCTGCTTTTACATTCCTTCTCAAGAATCCAACCAGCCGGTACTCTCCTCTAACTGAAAGCAGATGGTGAAAGTTTGACTGTGTGCCTTGTTATGCCTAAACTGGGGATGTTTCTGTGGTACTGGGGCAAAGTGAATTCAAAAGAAGTGGGACAGCTGTGATTGGTTGGCAAGCAGTTTTAGGGGCAGGAGTTAGCTTTTAATTTGGTGTTGTGGCGTGCAGCTGCTGCGTGTTTTACAGTTGATCCCCTGTGGTGACAGAGACCATATTGTCCTGTATTCTATAGTGTGAGTGTTTAAGTTTGTCTTGACGTTGTGTTGGAGTTATACTGACAGACTAAGTCAATGTCATGTCATTGTTTAACTACATATTGGGTTGCTGGGAAGTTTGTTTTTAGCCGTGCTAGCGGCATGGCTTTAGAGACGGCTCTGCTCTGGCTTTGGTCCCAACTGAAATATCTCAGCAACTACAGGATGGATTGCTATGACATTTAATAGAGATTCATTTTCTCCAGAGAATTAAGCGTCCGGACTTAAGTGAATCCTTTATCTATCCAATTGAAGTGCATAAAAGGGTGTTATACACTGTTGTACACAGATTGTTAAGACCCTTGAGGCGAATGCATAAATTGATTTGACTTGACTACTTTGCTTTATGACCAAATATCTGCTAAACTATGCCATTCCCATCAGCCTCAGATGCAGGCTACTTTGCGTTTAGTGCTAATAAGCAAATGTTAGCATGCTAACAATACTAACATGTTCAAATAAGATGGTGAAATTGGTAAAAACATTATACCTGCTAAACATCAACATAGTATAGTCATTGCGAGCATCTTAGCATGCTGGTATTTGCATGTTAGCATTTAGCTCAAAGTGTGTAAAGTCAGAGCTGCTAGCATGGCTTTAGAGTCTTAGAATAGTTAAAAAATGATCTATACAAAAGAGTATCTGTTTTATTTTAATTTTGTTTTATATAGTTTGAAGGACTGCTGTGTTTAGTACAGTACAACAGAGCTGCCAGCATAGCTCTTAACTGTTATTCTTGTTAAATGTTGAAGATTATTTAGGGTTATATATAGGATCTCTTGAACATGACATGTTGTTTTCAGATGGGACATTCTTTTAAACTGTAGTGATATTTGTCACAAATAGTCACTGTATAAACAGAGGAAACATGGTGAGATAAGTCACATCCTAACATCCTTCCTCATGAAGTGTAGCCGTGTACCTGGAAACATGCTAAAGCAGAGAACTGGATTATGCTAGATGCTATTTTTTCAGTTCCACGTCATCTCATATTATCTGTTTAAAAAGCAGTACACTCCTTCCCTTCCCAGTGCTGTCAAAGAAAGCTTGTCTTGTTTTAACAGAATCAATCTTTCCAGTAGTGTCCTCTCCAAGGGAAACAACAAATTAGTTCCTTTCTGGGGGAAAAAGTGGGCATCTTCCAGATTTCCATGTTGCCAATGTGAGTGTTGGAACTGATCTCTAAAGCTGCCCACAGGCTATTTTCATCCAAAATAATATACATATTTTTCATCAAAACAAGCAATGTGAGCACTGCAGACTTTGTAAATGTAATGTGTTTCATCCAGAAATGAAACCAGCACAAACCAAAATCATTTCTGACATACAAAACTAGCAATCTTTTTCTTTCTTTTTTCTTTTTTTTTACCCCATTTAGCCAGGGAAGTTCACACCCAGTTGCTGTTTGCCTTCTGATGTCAAAAAAAAGTGTCTGTAATGAGCATGATGACAGGGGGCCTGCAGGAATCTTCTGTGGGTGTCTGAGGTATTCCAAAAGTAATTTGACAGCTCTGTCCGAAGTCCAGAGTGCAGCAGGCAACTCTCTGAGCCAAAGTCAAGCAAGATGTGTCTCTTTCTCCCCTCGACTGAGTCATCTGACTTTGCCTGTTATTGTTCTCTTTCCTGCATGCCTGTCATAGCTGCTGTCTGGCCATGCAGAGGCAGAGAGGGGGAGTGCACTGCAATCACCAGTCATAACATTGCATCTGTGCTGCTATTTGATGAAGCAACTTTTTTTGGTTGTGTGTATGATAATACTTTTTTTTTTTCTTGCTCCTCAGGTCCTCTGTGATTATTCCTCCTCCTCTGGTTATGGTTGCACACAACAAGCAGTCAGGAATGCCCTCCTTCTCCTGCCTATGACATGGTTTAAGTCACGTATGATCCGGTCACCGTGATGGCCTCCATGGTTGCCAATGGAAACCGAGACGGGCAGTCTCTGGTCTTGAAAGGGGTGGATCCAGAGACCTGCATGATTGTTTTCAAGAACCACTGGGCTCAGGTAAACCCCAGCACTAAATCAAGGCTCCCACGTCTTACAGAAATAGTTTCCGGAAAGATGCTCATTCGCTTTTTTCGTCAAGAGTTAGATTTGAAGATCAATACCGCTTCAAAAAAATATGCGATTGTAAAGGAAATCATGTGCTCGAACTTTTTCTTGATGAACAACTGTTAATCTGTCTTCTTGGTACTATTATGAAGCGTTTCCACTGGTCGATTAACAACCTTACGATAACAGAAACACTTCGGGAAGAGTTACAGCACATAACCACAAATTGTCATTTTTACATTTATTTTTTGATGAACATTAAACACACGAGATACAACATGTTAATTAGTGAGCTTTCGAGGTGTTTATAGGAATATTTTTAGCTTTGGAGTGAATGCTAAGCTAAGCTAATTGCTTCCTTGCTCCAGCTCTGTACTTGCACAGAATGCACAGATATGAAATTTAGAATCAGTTTTCTGTCAATAGTCAATAAGTCAATAAGCATATTTCACAAATGTATGTTGAAACTATTTCTTTGAAATATTAGAATTCTGAAAATCCTTTGTCTAAACTTAAAATAGTGGTTCCCACCCTTTTACCCTGTGTCCCCTTAAATCAAAGGATTGTCTTCTTTGACCCCCCGGTTGCATATGAGTGTCAGCAGTTTGATAAGAGATTTTCACACTCTGGATTTTTTTAATTTGAGTAACTTTTACATGACCGATAAGCTATAACTATCCAGTATTTGACAAGAGAATGATTATAGAAAAATCCTCAAAAAATAAGATAAGTTTGTATCTCAGTTTTTTTTCTTTTCTATCCAGTTAATCATCAAGTTACTCCTTTATTTCTCTTGCGATCGCTTCAGGGAGTTCAGACCCACAGTTTGGGAACAACAGGCTTTAAACACATCCAGGTTGCATCCAACATTAATCGGTAAAAGCAGTGAGTGCAAGGTTGTTCACATTCGACTGCAAATCCTGACAGTAGAAAGTCCCAGCGAACTGCGGCGCGGTCATAGCCAGTGGAATCTTGGCAGCGAGAAGCCGACCGTCTTAGACTTTTGGCTTTTTGCAGCAGCATGTGTCCCTGTTGACCCCTGTGGGACCTGGCAGCCTGCTTGTCCTACTCCTCCCACACTGAGATGAACAAACGTTCTCCTCACTGACGTACAGTAAGAGTGACACTGGCCAGACATCGAGGGGATAGAAACGTGTGTCGGGAACTGTCAGCAGCGTTTATGTCAGCATTAGTGGCTGTCAGTGTGGGGTCTGACCCTCCTGTCAGTGAGCAGGCTCTGTGCTATTCACAGCTAAATTAAGCAGAATTCCACTGTGTTTTTATTAGGTTCTACACTGGACAGGCTTGTCGGGATTAGCTGTGTTATTTGGTTGGAAGGTTTAATGCACATGCACAGACTTCACTATAAGCCCTTGTTAAACTATTCTTAATGCCTCCCTCTCAATAAAAAATGTGTTGTTCTTCACTGTGCAGAGTTTGACATTAGAGGGCTGTTTTCACATCCATCTTCTGAAGAGGGAAACTTTCTCTGTACTCACTTTAAATCCGTTTAACATGTAAGTGTACAAGCATTTGTGACATCACTACTGCATGTAGGATGACTCATGGTCCGATAAGTTACAAAAGTGCAATGTTGAAATTTGAAGGCCCCAGTGCACAAACGCTGATTAGCAACTTTTTCATGAAGTAGGAGACATCTTGAATATTTTCATCTCATAGATTCTGGATTTTTCTACGACGGTGATGGAATAGATGTAATTTCAAGACTTTTCACAAGGTAGCTGATGTATTGGGACAGAAGTTGTAAAAAAAACAAACCACAAGGCTGAATTGTCCCAGGTTCTTACTGTGAACTGAAAAAATGAGAACTCCCTGTTCCAGATTAATGCTTTTTTTTTCTCTTTTTTTTTCTTGAGGCAAACTGAAAGCACAGTTCCATTCCTGCAGAGTCTTATTTCCATGCTTAGTTAATCTGTAGCCTGATAAGAGTCCCCTTGACTTTGGTTTCAGTTCGGAAAACCTTGAAATCCGAGTAACATGTTGTAAGTAATATCGGCCTTGTCCCTTTGTGAGAAGCTCTGCCTGTTTCAGAGTTGAAAGATTAGGTTTATGTTCATTTGCTGTGTCTTATCTGGCGCTCTCCAGGCCTCTCAGAGCTCATGGTGTTTGTTGTGACATGCAAAGTGATCTGTCCGTTGCTGTGACTGCCAAAAATCTTCAGCTATAGGCAGTGTAGTGTGGGCAGACTCATTCCATTCATGGCTAATGCCACGTGACTCCCAATAAATCAGTCAGTTTTATGAATGTGACTGTGTAGTGACGTGTACTGTTTATGCTGAAACTCTCCCATCCAGTGGACATTTAAGAACAACTCAGCTTTAGCTCTCAGACATCAGTCCAAAGAGTAGATGGAGCCGCCAGACAAAATAGTTAAAGATGTTTTAGTGAAATTAACCTTGTCCCGTCTCCAAAGTGAAGTTGTGTTTTGCTGATTACAGTAACATTTCATCTTTCAGCATCTGTCAACTAAAATAAAATCATAGAGGTTAAGTGGAAAAGAAGTTTCTGCTCTTTCACTTTCTTCAGACAGACTTCAGTCTCATCCTGCTGGTAGTGGCCCATGATAATTAGATATGAAACAATCCAATATAAAGTTACTGAAGTGTATTACGTCAGCGCTGCACAAGCACGGTGTGGACTTCCTCCTATAGCTCACCCTACTGCCCTACTGTTGTGTCAACACACATTATTCACCCGGGTGCATTTTGTAGAGCCTGTTCTGGGACTGAAAAATCAAAAGCCTGGACCTTTTGATGTTTATCCAGCCTGAGCCCAGTGCGTGGGCACATTTTCAAAGCTGAAGCCCACTGACATTTCCTATATGACCCATATTCTGATTAATGATGCAGACTATCGACCGACCTGTCAGCACTGTCAGAGCTATACTGAACTAAAGTAAACAGTCACGCTCACTAGCAGCTGCTTTGGAAATAATATGCATACTCTATATGCATCATGGTTTAATAAGCCTTATCCTTGTGTGCAGCTGACCTTGACAGTGTCAGTATTATGCCAATAGGCAACCCAAGACCACAATCCATATGTCCAGTAAGTAAAATCCTTGACTGATCCTCAGACTTGGCCCCTGCCTGTCACTTCAGTCATAGCTAGAGATTCTAAACTGGACGGATCCCCGAGGCTCAGGCCTCTGGGTCAGGCCCCATTGGGCTCAGGCAGGGATTACAAGCTCTGTTCTCTTGTTTCCATCAGCCATGCCCAGTTCTCTTATGCACAGCGAGTTATTGTCATGGCAGCAGCAGCAGGCTGGGGACACTAGCTTCATTATTGTGACTCTGGTTTCCATGCAGTGGACACACAAGGGAGGGACTGGATACACAAAGGACTGTTTCACTGTGTGCCACCAAACTGAGTTTATCTGTACTGTGCTGCTGGTTTATTTACACCTCATCTTTGTTGATAGTTAACCTGGCAGGAACAAGGAAATGATTTTACCTGTAATATGAGTTTTAATTAACATGGTAGACAAACACCATCTATACAAATAAGACAAACTTGTATATAAAGAAAATAGTGATTTGTAACATAAATTAAATATTGATAGTGCAGCACATATGTAATGTGAGCAGTAATACTCAAGATTCCCTTTTTCATATTTGATAATGAATGCGTCTCTAAAGAGATGGCTATCGCTGCTCGTGCTAACCATCAGTCAGCAGTGTGCTATCAAGAGTGTGCAGCAGTGTTTCTCATATAGAGGGTTTTGTGTGCATGACCTACTCATAAAGATTTGACCCCCTGTGAACAGATTTTTGTAATATGATTTTTTATTTTTTATTTCTTCTTTTCAAAAAGAAATACAATAAAAAGTACAGACTGTGAAAAAAGTCAGATCAGATGTTGCATTCATGTGCAGTAACAGACTGTAAAAACGACTTTTATCTCCTGATTACAGCGTCTGATGTGTTGAAGCATGTTAAGTTTAGCACATAACCCTAACCTTTATACAACAATCCACCCCAAAAAATGTACTAACCTGTTGACAAAGTACACAAGTGGCAACAGCTTTATCAGCCAAGTATTGAGCCTTTTAGTTAAAACCTTCCACCAAAATGATCCTTTTCTCCTAACACAGTCTAATTCTACAACGTATTGCTTTGTCTCTTTCTATTTGGATGTAGTTGAGATTTAGCCAAAGCCTGATAACCGCTCTTGCATGAAAATCAAATGATACATGGTTATAATGTGTTCAGTTTAAGTTGTACTTGTGTCTACTGTAGGTGGTGAAGATCCTTGAAAAGCATGATCCTCTGCGCAGCAGTTCCACCCTTCCCTCCCTGAGTGTCATCAACCTCAGCACTGGCTCTAGCGGCGGCCCTCGTTTTGGCCCCATCCCCGGAGATGAGGCGAGTGCAGTGCAGAACTACGTGGAACACATGCTGTTCCTGCTGATGGAGGAGGAGAGCGGTCAGGCCGGCGCTATGGGCCCCATCCTGGAGTTTGTGGTGATGGAGAACGTGATGGAACGACTCTTTGTGTGGAGCCTCCGCAGGGAGTTCACAGACGACATGAAGCTGGAGCAGCTGAAGATGTACGAGATGCTGGTGGGGCAGGCGCACCAGCCGCTGCTGCATCACAAACCCATCCTGAGGCCGCTCATGATGCTGCTGTCGTCCTGCTCGGGCACGGCAGCGCCTGCCGTTGAAGCTGAGCTGGTGCTGCTGCTCAACCAGCTGTGCTGCGTTCTGGCAAAGGACCCTTCAATTCTGGAGCTGTTTTTCCACACCAGCGAGGATCAGGGAGCCACCAACTTCCTCATCTTCTCCCTCCTCATCCCATTCATACACAGGGAGGGCACAGTGGGCCAGCAGGCCAGAGATGCTCTGCTGCTCATTATGTCGTTGTCTGCTGAGAACGAGCGAGTGGCCAAACACGTCGCAGAGAACACCTACTTCTGCCCGGTCAGTCCAGAATGATGAATTACTTTCCCTTCTGTCTTTTTCTTGCTCTCAGCTCTCATTTGCTCTTAGGTGGTTTTTAGTGTCTCCCCAGACTCAGTCCCTCTTTTTTTAAATATAAAACTAACCCTTTTTTGTAAAAGGAATTATTCCATCCTCGTCAGTCAGTGGCACCACTATTATTCCTTGACCCTGGGTGTCATAGTCAGGCCAAAATATGCAGATGAATTCATGGACCCACTCAAAACAAGGTTAAAACATCTCTGGCAATGAATGTTACAAATGTCTGGCATTCATAAGATTATAGCACAGTTGTGAGCTAATCCCATGTAAATAATGCCATTTACCCGCAGCTGTAGACGGCGCAATGAAAAGTGGCTTTTGATGCACTGCCAGTTGAATAACAAGAGTCTATATTTAATTGGTTCCACTGGCAGGCAACAAGGATAATCCTATAGAGGATGTATACATCAATGCAACACTAATGATGTGCTCATTTTACCGCTTAATTAGACTCAGGTGATATAGGCTCTACTGTTGCTTGAAATTCCACCTTATGATGACCTGCTTCACTAAGGAAAGACAGAAATCATACTGGCCATTTGTAATGTGGAGAGTGTGCTGACATTAATGCATTAATTAGTGACCTTATTACCATATCATGGTTAATATTGCAGGAGTGTTATAGGCAGTAAAACACTTTGCTGCTCAAATATTTATAACGTTCTTGGAGCTGACCTTTCGGAGGCATAAATCCTTACGTATGCTGCTTTACTGTGTGAGGAGGAGCAGGCTGCTGCAGTGCCGTGCTGACATCAGTATCACATTATCACAACATGGAGAAGAAGAAATGATTTACAGTAGTATGTTTCTCTGTAGTGAGTAGTAAAACACTGTTATAAATCTGTCATGTGAAGCTAAAGGTAAAACTGACAGCAGAGAACCTGCACATGTATCATTTATGACAAACTGCCTCATTAATCTGTAATGAAGCCCATAATATTCTCTCTATAATCACTTTACCTCAGATTATTCTTCATTAGACGACATGTATCAGATGATATTTATTGTTTGCAGCACAGTCTGCTTTTTCTACAATAGTGTAGCTTTATTGTGGAGATGAACCGATGAATGGTACTATAGATAAATGAAAATGAAAGAGATCTTCTTTGACAAACCGTGACATAGTGGATAGATAGAATAGGCTCTGCAATTACTGGTTAATCAATAAAACAGATAATTAAAACTAACAGTCTACAGCCAGAAAAAAGAAACAGGTCATCACTACTATTTGACTGGCTGTGTACTGATAGACCAATAGTTGAAACTGACTAATAGACAATAATAATCCCACATTCAGAATCAGGTTTTTGCCAAGTGTGTTTCACATATGAGGAATTTGCTTTGGTATTTTGGTGCATAACAATAAACATAGAACATAAGATAAAAAAAAAAAAAAGAACAAAAGAAGAAAAAATATAAAGAAAGATAAAACAAAAGCGAGTACTGCAAGTCAGGTGTCTCAAATATAAATAGACTTTTTTCAATGAAATATTTAAATAGAAATAAAATAAAATAAAACAAATATATACAATGTGCAATAGGAATAGGAGCTTAGGAGCGTGTGAGCTTCTATGAGTAATGTAACACTGTTTAATACCGACACCTCTCTCACCTCAGGTGCTGGCCACAGGGCTGAGCGGCTTGTACTCATCTCTCCCCACCAAGCTGGAGGTTCCCAATGAGGAGTGGCACTGCCTCCACAAAGAGGACTGGCTCCAGTTGCCGTCCCTCGTCCAGTTTCTCAATTCCCTGGAATTCTGCAACGCGGTTATTCAGGTGAGCATGTGTGACAACGCTGCACACACAAGGCCCTGCCACATGAGAAATGTATTCACACAAGGTTAATAGGTGCAGCCTTCTGCTTGACAGCATTCCTGACTGACATGCGCCTTAATACTAACTGTTCCCAGGTGGCCCACCCTGATATCAGAGACCAGCTGGTTAGTTACATCTACAACGGATTCCTCGTGCCTGTCCTAGCACCAGCTCTTCACAAGGTTGGCACTCTTCTTCGTTTTCCTCGTCACCTCCATGTAATGCCTCATTTGGACAAATATACAGTATATTCACAGTAAAAATACACACTCTGGATATGGGCTCTGATTGGAATTAAAGGAATAGTTTGACATTCTTAAAAAAAATAAGCCTAGTTAAACAAATTGGATATAGCATCGGTGAACTTCATACGTGCTACAGTAGTTAGCCAATCTCACAGTTTCCCTCTATTCGCAGTGTTTGTGCTTGGCTGAGATAGTCACCTCCTGTTTGTAGCTTCATATAGCAATCTTCTAATCTAACTCTAGGGCAAAATGTCCAACTATTCATCTAAAATCACTAATCAGAACATGCAACATTAAAATCACCGAACTGCCCAATGAGAAATAAATTCTCTCTAAAGCTTGAAGTTTAATTCCTAAAAAAAGTACTTTTTAATTTTTCCATTTGCTGTTATCAGTGCAGAGCTGAAGAATTTGACAATACAGGTTAATACAGAATGTTAAACAGTGAAGTCAAACATGTCAACATCTGGAGATATACTGTAGACATGTTGGTAGATTTTTCTGTGGCATGATGGTTTTATTTGTTCTGGAAGATGACCCCACATACACAAACACTCACACTCACAGCTCACTAATGGTTCCTTATCTCTGTGTAGCTGACCCTAGAGGAGGTGATGACCACCACAGCATACCTTGACCTCTTCCTGAGAAGTGTTTCTGAGCCGGCCCTGCTGCAGACGTTCCTCTCCTTCATCCTCCTCCACCGCCACGAGAGTGTCCACATCTTAGACACTCTGGTCAGCCGCATCAACACCCCCTTTCAGGTAACATTACAGGACAAAAGACTTATGCTTTCTCTTAAGAACGCACACACACACATTGCACTCAACTACAGCATGACTCATGTTTGATAACTTCAGAGCAGGTTTCTTAGACTTTAAAATTACCCCAGAGACTCTGGGACTCGTGGTAAAACTTAAATGTCAGTATGAAGCTGGGAGATCGTTGCTATGGTAATGCTCAGTTGCAGTGACTTACCCTGTTAGCAAACTCAACTGATATCAGCATTTTAAAACAGTCCAATACGTGGGGACGTCTTGTTCAAATATTTTGGTAGAACTGAGCCATTAACATGAATAAATAATGTGCTCTTTACATTGCTGTGGCTCAGGGAGTTCCCTCCAGTGCAGCGCTGACACGCCTCCAACACAGTGAAAAATAATAAACATGTTTGCTTTTCACATTTATGACATTATGCCACTGAGTTAACATGCAAATATTCCACATTTCAGCTTTTTTATTTTTTCTGTTTGAATTCACCTTTGATGTTTAATTTCCTCTTCTTGGGTTGTCGTGCTCTTGTTTTCCAGCTTCATCTTTTGAGATGTCAGTTTTTAGCGGTGGCGTGCCTTTTATTATATAAAGAATATCCTATCATTTTAACCTGTGTATTTTCCCCAAAAAATGCTCAATATTGAATGCTCTTGACTTTCTCTAGGGAAAAATTCTGTGGATGGTGTCTGTCAGTTGCTCTGTTGGTTCACTAGTTTGATTCAGACTGAACTATTTCAGCAACCTTCATGGCCCCCAGAGGATGAGTCTTAATGACTTTGTTTTCTTCTGACTTTTCCTCTAGCTAAAAAACACATTCCTATCAGCTCTTGTTTATGTTTACTGCTACGTAGCACATGTGAGCGTGCTAATCAAATACCTCCAAACTAATAACATTCCCACCAGCTGTAGGCTATTTTAGTGTTTGGGTCTGATAAGCTAATGTTGGCCTGCTAAATGCACATTTTACCTGGTAAACATCAGCATATTAGCATACTGGCATTAGCATTTGGCTAGTACAGCCTCACAGAGACACTAGCATGGCTGTAGACTTGTAGTCATGTTAATCTCCTCTCTGCTGTCACATTTAGTCACTTCTTAGTTATTTGCTGTTCTTTTTCCAGCTTTGTGTGTTAGTTTTTAGAGGTGGTGTGCAATCGACTCCTGACAACTTAGGAAAATGCAGAAGAATATATAAGTTCAAACTAGCATGTTTATGTTCCTGTCAGCATATGTGACTGTAACACGGAGGAAACAATCTCACTTGTATAAAATGTGACTACAACTGATCATTTCTTTTCATTACTTTTCAATTAATTAATCATTTAGTCTATAAAGAATGATATATTCCCATTTATTTCTTTTGTCCAGCCAGCAGTCTGTATACAGTATATTATATTTAGTCTGCAGTAATTTAAAATATCAAAAGCAGCAGAGCTTTTGCTGTTACTTTTGCTTGACAATTATTTTCTGCACTAGTATGTAAAAAGCCACTTGAAACAGCTTCCTCTGTCATCTTTACTTGTTGTAATATGTTTCATCTTTCCGTTCAACACTCCAGCTGGGCACTGTGTCGCTGGCACTCTTCCGCACTCTCATTGGCTTATACTGTGAAGATGTGATGCTGCAGCTCATACTGAGGTGAGTGGCTCACACACCTTATCCCAGCTATAAAGCTTGGTACACCTAATTGTTTTATGATATGATGAGATTTTACCCACTACCTCCCACCATGCAGACTTTTTTTTTACCATCTGTCTGCTCACTACCCCCCGCCTCCTCTCCCTCCTACGACCACCCGTTGGTTTTCCTAACAGGATTCATTCCTATCTGCCTCCCCAGGTACCTGATCCCCTGTAATCACATGATGTTGAGTCAGAGACGTGTGGTGAGGGAGAGGGACTGCTACTCGGTGTCAGCGGCCAAGATCCTGGCATTAACACCGTCCTGCTGCTCCCCTGATCACAGCCCCCCGCCCCTCCGACAGCTAGACTCCATCCTCTTTTCTAAGGGTGCAGAGACTGCCAATAACACCGACACCACAGGTAAGAGGGATAGGACATTACAGGAAGATTTTGAGTGAGTTATTACAGCTTTCCCTAGCTTTCTGACTTTATTGCGATGCTGCTGTTTTTCCAAATCTCAGCAATTTTTGAATTGAGTTTGATGATATTTTTACAGACAGAAATGTCTCTAAGACATAAGACAAGATGTAATAAACAAGAATTTTCCTTCTAGGAGTGAATGGTAAAGCTAATTATTACCCACATTCAAAGGCTCCCCAACTGGAGCCTGGAAGTTTCAATAACGCCCTTTGAGAAGCCTGAATACTTTTCAAATTTTTTGTTCTCCATGTGTTATAGATTAGTCAAAATGAATTAATAATTTTCAGCCATATTTGTAATCAGCTTTTATGGATGTTTTTGCTGCTTTCAAATCAGCTGAAAGGTGAATTCATTCAGCAGAGTTTCCTATTCATAATACTATTTCAGTGAGTGAATGTTAGAAGCTCAGTAATAGTGGTGTGCAGTCAAAACAAACAGCGCAAACAGCATAAGAGTCATTCAGTGTGGCAGTTATAAGAGCTAAACAAAATAATTATAATAAAAAGTGTAATTTCTTATCTATTCTATGACATTTCCAAAATCTGTTGAAATATATGGTTTTGAGCATAGCGCTCTGCAAGGTGTTGCTCTGCATATAACTGGGACATAAACATATAACAGGAATGATGATGTGTATTTTATCAGATAGAGATCTCCTGCTGTTTTGCTGTATTACATCACTTTGCCCCCCGTAGTTACATGTCAAACTCATTAGTTCTGCTCTGTGTGAGCGCGGCAATCAGGCGCTGCACGCCAGCTTTTATCAACATTTCTTATCTGTTTTTCCCAGGGGAAAAAGAGAGCTTCCCAGAAGAGGCTGATGACAACTCCTGCACCATTGGGTCAGAAATCTACCTTGACGTCAGTTACCTTCATTACCTCGGTGATGCCCACCTGAGCATCAGGAGCTGCATGCAGGCCTGCCGGGTTTGGTCAGCCCCATATGACGGCGAGGACCCCCCTCCTGAGAAATACCAGCCCGGCGTCCTTGAGGAGGCCGGGCTCAAGAGTCGACAAACCCAGATAGTACTCAAGAGAGTTCCCCAGCCGCTGGCGCCACGGCCACGACCGTGCCCACAGCCGAACACACAGCCGAACACACAGCCGAACACACAGCCGCCCTCTGTCAACCAGCTGGAGCTGGAGTGGGATGATAGTTATGATGCGTGCCCGGTGCAGACTGCAGAGATTCTAGTGGAGAGTAAACCTCCTCACCTGCCTCCTGCTGAGCCCCCACAGCACATCCAGGAGATGAGAAAAACAGCCATCATGCTGGTTAAAGGCTCATACATTGAGGAAAATGAGTTCCAGGATGATGTCATGGTGTATGATCTTGTCGCCAAGAAAGACACTCGTGATGCCGAGCGCGGTAAGCACAAACCCAACAGGTCAGAATCAGAAGAAGCCCAAGCAGGCTCAGCAGAAGTTCCCCCCTTAAAAAATGGACTAAGTATAACACTTCCACCTGCTGTGATGGCGGATAACGGCAATAATAGCGTGGACACAAAAGCAAAAGTCCAAACAGATTGTAATTCAAACCTCCAAAACACGACTGCTGCTGCTGAGTTGGGTGACGACCTTTTAGCTCAGTATGAGGAGCTCATTCGTACGTTGGACACACAAGCAGATGGAAAACCGGTTAAAGCTGATGCAGAACTGAAGAAGCCTGTCGCACCTGTGTTGGAGGAGGGTGAAGAGGAGGAGATAGATTTCACCGCCTTCTCCGCTGAAACACCAGAGCCAGAGAAACTGCAATCACCGTTCGGGACCAAGTTTCGTAGCGGAAGTATGAGTAGAAGCCCATCAGTGCCTTTTACAGGTAAGTTAAGGGAAAGTTGAACCTTGCATTTTGGAAAGCACACTTAAAAGATTGTTTATGATTACTCTGTCTGCAGGTCCATTTGTCAGTGTGCTGCTGTCTCGACTGGAGAACATGCTCTCTAACTCACTTTATGTCAACCTGTTGTTGACGGGCATCCTGGCTCAGCTGGCGGCCTACCCTCAGCCTCTCCTGCGCTCTTTCCTCCTTAACACCAACTTGGTTTTTCAGCCGACTGTTCGCTCCCTGTACCAGGTAAGAAAAACACGTCCTGTGTATGCGTGTGTGGGCAGGAGTGTGCCTTTCATTTATTTGCCTTCCCCTGAGGCTTGTATATGATCAAGTAAACAAAAAGAAGAAAAAGAGAGCAAAAGATCTGGGTTTTACAGCATCACTGAAAGATGTTGAAACATGCAGCTTGCTTTTCAGAAGTGAGATTGAAAATAGGAATACAAAGAAGTGTTTGAAATCTAAGCGCTCAGTAGTAAGATCAAGTGAAGACGGCTTTCTCTCCTCTCTGTTTTTTCATGTGTAACTGAACAAGAGATCCGTGATTAAGACAATCAGACAATGAGGCTGCAGCACTTAGATTTCAAGGTTGTTCTCATTAGTTTAGCTTTAATTACATTAGTGTAAATACTGCAGACGTGAATGTAGTCCTCAGGTTCTTTTCTATACTTCTTGCTCAGGTACTAGCCACCGTGAAGAACCAGATAGAAGAGCTGGCCGCCACCAGAAAGGACTTTCCAGAGATGATCACTACCGCCCAGCATTGGCTGCTGGCCAGAGAGACGTCGTTCATGGCAGCAGGTGACGATACACCCACATTCCCCTTTCTGCGCCAGCTATGGTTAAGAGTCTGTAATCACACATGTACAGTATTGTATCTGTACAGCCCCTGGAAATGTGGTTTCAAAGTATTTCTCCATAACAAATTCTTCATTACCTGATGTGAAACAATCAAAGCTGAACTTTGGAAAAACCAACTTACCTTGATTCAAGGGTGTTTTTACCTTTGGCATCTAGAACCCTGGTTCTCATGGTAAGAAGCTGATCGAGGAAGAAGGTTTTCAGGCCCTGAATGGCTGATGCATGAAAAACTGAGCATTTAAAAACATCCTCAGTTAATGTTACAATATTCACTCTGTTATTCCAGAACATATAGTGCCGACATTTAAGTCCGCCACTTTCTGCTGCATTTGCTTTCTTTTGTTTTTTACTTAGATTCTATACAAATGTAATTAAACACTAGATATAAAATAAATAATAATTTTTATTATTATTACAGCTGAGTTGGTTGAAGATGAGAATATATATTCTGGAATATTTCTCTGAATACCTGATGATTAGAAAACAAACGCTGCACTGTTGTCAAGCTCTTCAATCCCACTTAATTTACCAAAAATGGCTCCAAACAATATCAGCATTCATTATTGGTTTGTGATTTGGATCCTGTTTTTGAACTACAATTTGATTTTGTTAAGTCATGTGTCTTTGCAGTTGAGCAACAATTTCAGCTAAGCCCCAGAGTTTTAGGCCTGTTTGTGAACTACATTCCCTCTGGTTTCAGTCGTACAAGCTACAAAAACCGTTGCTGGATGTATGTTTGTGGAAGGATGAGAAGAGACTTAGACGGAAATTTTAAAACAATTTTTTTTGTTTTCTTACTGGTTCACTTAGCATTTTGTCACTGTAACTTATTAATTCCTCATGTTCTCAGACAAAAACAGCAGCAGTGCCTCCACCCACGGCGAGGCGGGGAGGATGTTGAAGAATTCTCCGCCACCAAAACCCAAAGCCATCTCTTTGGATCGGACAGAAGTCTTTGCTACCGTCCTGTTCACAGAGTTCCTCAAAGAACTGGCTGCAATTGCACAAGAGCACTCCATCTTATCTTACATTCCTATGGAAGAGTAACAGTGTCCCAGTATGCCTCTGTGATGAGTCCAACGGAACAGATTTTTAAAAAAAAGACTCTTTTATGGTGGTTTTCTAGTTTTTTTTTGTTGTTGTTTTTTTCAGGCACTACTTGATAAAGAAACCTCTTAGATTCAGTGATTTATACAACTATTTTAAAAAAAAATGGTAGAGTATTTATTTTCTGTGCAAAGATAATCACTTTCATGTGCTTTTGAATTTCATCTTTCTAGTTGTGTAAAGTGTTGAGCAGCTGAGGAGGAGGTCCAAACTTTGAGCTGGAAAATCTTGACCTGTTTTGGAGAAGCCTGCACCAGCTGATAATGTTCATTAAGGTGAGCTCCAGGTCCACCAACCAAAGACTGTAGAGAGAGGATCTTCACAAAAACCAGCATCTTTTTTTTCCAATCAATCATCAGCCCTTCTCTGAACTGCCCTTGTTCTGAATGTCTTCTACAATCACAGTCGTATGTCTGCTGCTCAGTGTGGTTTTGTCACCTCTCTGGAGCGTTGCTGCCTCTCTGTCATAGGATTACACACCTCTGAATTAGCAGCATGACGATGTTAATTTGATTGTCTCTGTTGTAGCCAACTGGCGCCATCACAGAAACACATCCTTACTTTGTTCTCTGTTACACGACTTCATCTTTTAGTAAAACAGGATGGTCACTTTTGTCTGTGGTGGTGTTTCCACAGTCGTTGCGTTAGATGTACATTTGTTTTGGTGTTTTGTTTTTTTTTTCAGTTGATTCATCATGATGGTACCTCAGGAGTCTTTTAATGCACCTTCGGTTCTCTCAGTTCTTAAAAAGCCTTTGGGTGAAGCGGCTTACCCATGATGCACTAGTCTCTCACATTAATGGGCTCCACCTTCTCCACACCACAGCACCAAAACCGAGATTGTTCTTGCGATATTTAATTTGCCTTACTTTAGCGATGCTTTATAATGTATATATTGTAAGAAAACACTATGCAAATCAAGGATATTGTAGGCATAATTAAGTTTGGGATATTTTCAAAATGGGATGGGGTATTTAAGATTTTTGAAAGTTTCTATTGCCATATTTTTTTTCAACAAGGCTTCTTAGTTATGGTTTAAAATCACTTTCTTCTATGTAGGGATTGTGTAGGGTGTTGTTTCTAGCTGTGATGAGTCTGATATATCACTGTTGGGAGAGTCTTAGTTTTGCATCTGTTGAAAACCATCTCAGACCAGAACGGTTACCGAGGGGAACCTCTTGCAAATTGCCTTTAAGTCCATGTGGTTATTAAAATGGGACAAATACAAGAGATATATTTTGTTACAAAGCCTGCCTCTATTAAATGATTGATCATTGATGATTACATTTTTTATTGACAGAAATGGTTTTTAATTAGTGCCTAAATTATGATTTTAGTTCACATTATTGCCTGATTTCAAATGGATTTACAGAGGACTAATGCAATATTTTATAGTGAAATGATTTTACTTGAAGCTGTCTATTGACAAAGTGTAAATGAAAGGCCTTAGGGACTGAAGATGTGCACCATACAGTGTATTGTTTTGATATGATTTGCTTTTGACTGACAAAACTCAGTTTCTAGAAGCAAAAGAAATGAATCACCGTCCCTGTCCATCCACAACTCAATGTAACAATGCAGATAATATAATGTGGACATTTAAAGAAAAAAAAATTAAATAATCAATTTCTTAAGAGAATTTGTTGCATGTCCTTTAGTAAATGCTATAATCTAGATAGAAAAATATGACACAGATGATTATTGAAGAACTGATTATTCAGAATTCATTCTCGTAATTTTCTTTCAGATTCAGACCGAGATTATTGATTGCTTTGAATAGATTTAACAAAATGTAACACAAACAAATAGCAGAAAAAAGTATCAGTAGTTTTGTGATTTACACTGAGTTGATCAATGTCATCATCTCATGAATTCATCTTATTTGATCAAGAATTATTTTAAAGTTTAGTTTTAAATCTGAATTGTGTCATTTTGTTCCTATTTAAACCCATTCAGTTTCCTCTTGATGCTATGCAGGCAGTGAATTATGCAGTAGGATCTTTCTATGATAACTATTTGTTTTTTTTGTTTTTTTACTAAAATGGCTTGAAAGCGTATATTTCTACCAGTCAAAGCCATTTTCAGAACTGTTGAACAAGTCTTTCTCTGTGGTAAATGAATGTTGCAGAGCACTTTATCAGCCTTTGAGTATGGTGTCAGTCTGCACCGCTGACACCTGCCCTTCAACCAGCACAGGTTCAGTCTGTGTAACACACTCAGCACAGCATAACAATCACTGTTTTAGCAGCATTGTCGCATGAAAGCGGGTATTATAGCTAAGGTTATAGACCAGTTTCTGTCTCTGTAGGTTCCAAAGATTAATCCTCATTGATACTGTTTGGCCTCAGTTTTGTGTCAGCGGTTACGCTCGGGTTGCTGTTTGTTGCTGATGTCTGACATGCAAAGGCATGCCTCTTTCAATAAAGACAACTTCTGGTAAATGAAACTGAATGCACTTAATGTGTTGACTTTTCCCACCTCTCTTTAAACTAAAAAAAAATGCAACGTTTTCAAAGCAAAAACCCAGCTGCTTTGCCTGACAGGTTTCACCTGACACCATCAATATATTCTTTCCTTTGTGCCAAAGGGGGGTTGTGGCTGTTTGTTCTGTAGACATTGATGTCCTCATTTAATTCACACTTCCTTTACGAACAGCCCATCCCTCAGAGAGATTTTGTTCAAAACTAGGTCTTGTTCTCGCAGGAGCTTACCTCCTCCATTTACATGCAGTGACTGACATACTGCAGAGAGGAAGTGAACCTTTTGAGAACTCATGCACAAGATAAGCATCTTTTTGTAAAGTAAACTGCACCGTCTCACACCTGTGCATGCAAACAAGTTATTACATGGGTCAGAAAAACGGCATGAAGCTAAATATTGGCCGCTGGAAGCTGTCATCTCCTATATATAGACTTCAGCTTGGGTCAAATGTACCAACCAGGAACCACAACCAGCTCCCAGTTTCGGTCACATCAACAACTGTAGATACAGAAATCAAAGCTTGAGAGTGAGAGTTGTGCACTACAGCAGATGTCTTTGACAAGGTCTCCAAAAACTTGTAAAATCGTTTCAAAAATGTAATTATTTTGAAATGACAACGCTCCAACAGCTTTAGGGGCTGTGTAGTAGCACCAGTCTGTCTGCTCACAGTTGTAGCTGGCCACATAACAGCACTGTGTGTGTCCTGCTGGAAACTAGTCGTATGTGGAAGATGTAATTTTCTGATCCCTGCAGGGGAACAGTTGCCAAAATAGATTGGGAATTTCTTTGTTTCAAAATAAGACTAAGCCTACCTATAATAATAAGTATATTTGACTAAACTGTAATTGATGTATGAAAATATTAAACATGAAAGTGATGAGGCCAGGTGACAACCACTATTAGTTATTAATTTCTCTTAACATTAAATATATACTAATCACAAAGGAGAAATGCAGATAAGAAGTTGATAAATTTAAGGGTGTTTAGGCACCGAGACAATTTGCATTAATACTGTGCAAAGGATCTGCACCTCAATATCAGTGAGAATCCATACTGAATGCAGCATAGTAGAGAAAGTATTACAGGACAAATAGCATGTGGCTCATCCACTAGAGGGAGCTCACTGAACGCTCCCATGCCTGGATATCTGAGATGGGCAGGGTCTCTGCCGCCTCTCTTGATAAGAGAGCATGTCACACGTCAGCAGTTTAATCTAGTGCCTGAGTGATTTTCACGCGTCAAAAATAACCATAATGACCAATATTGTAGTGGCCAATGGTACATAAACCTGTGTTGAAAGGGTTATATTGAATTACATTCACCTTTCTTTTCTTTGTGTCAGGACCATTTAATTTATGTTGATATGAGATTCTTTACTGTTAATTAAGTTGCATCATTTTCAAGCAGATTTTACTGTTTTACTCTATATACAAGTCTCATCACCTGATCAGAATATCAAAACGTACATCTTGGAATTCAGGTATGCTGTTTTTGACAAAATAAACCAAATGGTGATATAACATTGTAACAGATTGTGATAATCTGAAAAGCTTTATTACGTTTTAGACACATAAACATAATGAAGGGTTGTCCAGTGAAAACATTGTATAGTATTTACATAATGTCATCCTCTCAGGAACTGAGGATGGAAGCTTCATTTTCAGCTAGACCATCAATACTTTTATTAACCCATAGAGGACCAGGTACCATGTGCCACCATGTGGAAATGACTGCTCTGCATATCTGCATGTTCATACAGAAATCTACATCATCACTGTCATATCTTTTCTTTTTCATAAAGGTACTTGACTTTCAGTCTGTGATATGGCTGGGTCTCGCAGAGCAGTTCAACCTTCACAAAGTCTTCTCTTGTAAAATTGTCCTCACCAGAACTGGGTCAGTTCTGCCTTTGGTCTCCCTCTGAACCAGGCCCATCAGTTTGTTCAGAACTTTCTTGTTTCCATTTCTGAAGGCGCGAACCTACAGAGAGGCACAGCAAACACAAAACATCTCCAACCAACAAACAAACAAACAAACGGGGCGAAAAAACAAACAAACAATATAATTGCAAGTGAGAATTCACATGTGAGCCCTCACCTCATCAGGATGCGAGTCCACCACCTTCTGGCAGATGCTGTGCAGCTGTGCAGTGTCACTAACAAGCCCCAAGTCCTGCTCCTGGATGATCTGCTGGGCCGTCTTGCCTGATGACCTCCACATCTCCTGGAACACCTGTGAGTGGGGAGAAACCAGGAAAGACACAGGTGATAACCAGAAAACAAATGAGAACCAGCTGCACTTGTGTGTATCGAGTGACAGATAGAAGAGGATAACGGCACAGCCTGTGCAGCTGACTGACCTGCTTGGCAACCGAAGAGGAGATATGTCCTGTTTCTTGGAGGTCCAGCAGCTCAGCTAGTGCAGGAGCAGAGACTGGGCTGGAATCAAATGAAGGGGTAATTTAATTACATTTTAATGGACTGAAGAATTAGTGATATAAATGGAGGAGGAGAAGGAGAGCGAAAGAGTGGGAGTGTGAGACGGAAAAAAGATGCTACAGTCTATCAACATTTGTGATTTGACTATAACGTGTTTGTCTTTCCTATGTCTGCTTGTTTATTCCCCAGGCAAGAAAACAAACAGAATCAAAAAGCCTGTTAGAATATATTAAGTGGAGACAGGGTTTCATTCAGTGTACTGCAGGCCAGATAGTCCATCTCTGCTAAATCTCCTCCAAATATGACAAAGACACTGGAAAAATAGATGAAAAGTATCCGTCTTTACAAACACAACTCAGTTTGAACAACGGTTTATGTGTAAAATAAAGCAATGATTCCCAATCAGGGGTACTTGTACCTCAGGGGGACACTTCTGCAGTTGGAAATGGAAAGCTCAATTAACTTAACTAGAAACTGCAATTGCATCAAAAAAAAAAAAAAGAAAAAAAGAAAATTGCTTAAAAGGAAAATAAACAGCCAAACAACAGGGTTAAATTATAATAACCAGTAAACTGTCATACAACCAGTTGTGACACATTAACACCACATGTTGGAGTTGAGAGTGTGAAGACTAGTAGAGCAGTTGAAATAATTGACAAATACACACTTTAAATAGTCAGCTAAAAGAAATGAATAAACCGTTTCAATAATAAGCTAAAACTAACAGTTTTGAAATGCTTGGCTAAAAGTAATGACTAACAGTTGAAATAGTTAGCTAAGTGAATAAACAGTGAAAACAGCTAAAAGTAATAGATGAATGGTTCAAACGTTTAGCTTCTGCTACCCGTGTACTTCTACCATTTAGTTCTACAAAAACAATTTTGACCAAAACAACCTGAACGTTGACTATTCAGTTGTAACAATACCCGCTTTTATATAATAAACACCCAGTTCATAATCTGATCATAAGAGCATATTTGGATGGTGAAGGTACTTAAGTTTATCTGGCTGCAGAAGCATGTCAGACAAAAACAAAACAAAAGAAACCCTCATAATATTAGTGTTTTTAAATCTTTCACATTAATGTAGGCATAATGACATATTTTTCGACTCTGTTGTCATCTTGTCACCATCCTGCAGCAAATCTGCCACCGGACGTGCACTGAGTTTCCCTCATGGACAGCCGCCAGCAGCCTTTCTAAGGGGGGAAACCCTGGAAGGCTAGAGACAAGTCTTAGGTGGGAGAAAGGCCCAGACGAGCTCTTAATGACATGTCTTGAGTTCCAGCTTTCTGGCTGTCTGAGCAATGTGATTCAAAATGTTTCTCTCAGCACTTATGTGAGTGAGTTTCTATGTTTTGCAAACCCGCCTGCAGCTTTTGACAGTCCTGCCGGCCACTCTTTGTTTTTCTTGAACTCTTCTCCTTTCAACTACAGCAAATGCAACTTTATGCATAAATAAACACCAGCTACTTTAGGTTCACTCACACACAAATGTTTCGCATCTGTCTGGGAAATGGTACATAAAGTGAAGCTCACAGCATCCGTGCTGATGTCAACCCATTACTTGTTTCAATTTCATTTGCTGTGTAATGACTCAGAGCTTTTTACTTTAAGAAGTTATTATAGAACTGTATTTCTAATCTTAGTTGGACTTCAGAAGCAGATGTGAAGTTTCTAAAGTGGTGATGACCTTCAATCTGTAAATACAAATAAAAATGCATCCACATTTTTAGCAGCAGTCAATATTTAGTTGCCATCTTAAGAAAATTGCTAAGATGAAATGAATTGAAATGAGTATTGAGTCTGATATTTAGTGTCACAGTAGGAGACAACTTTTAAAAGCCGGTGGCAGGATAGGCATCTTCATGTTTTTTTTTGAAGGACAGAGCGTGACAGGTACCCTGGCACCTTTTCTTTGCTTCAAAATATCAAAAAGACTTTATTCAATTTCAAGTGCTTTGGAACATTTACAAAATCCAACGTGTTCCAGGCCTTCAGCAGGGAGAGATCAAAACAACATCTTCCAAAAAAAGTAATGATTTCACTAATGTAATTGGATTTGTCCACACAGGCTTTTCTGCGACGGGCTGTCAGGACTGTCGCAGGTGTTTTGTCATTGACAGACGTGAAGAATTAGGGAATATCAGATGATTTATGAGCTCACACATGTAGCTGTTGTATGGTATGTGACGGTCTAATCAGTATTTGTGAACACTAAAAATCTAATAATCCTTGATGTCAATCAAATGAGAGTGTAGTGTAGAATGGTTAATGGAAGAGAGAGTGAATTATTTTATCTAACTGAGGTTGATGTGCTGTCATTTTGAACCCAGCACCTGTAGCCTGAATATAAGAATATTATTCTGAACACCATAGAGAACAAGTAAAATCTTTTTTGTGGCTAAATTTCTTATTAATCCAAAGCAAGCCCCCATGGGGAATAGAAAGGAAACAGTTCAGTAACTTAGATTTTAGTGGCAACTCATACTACTACTACTCCAAGAACACC